CCCCCCCCCCCCATGCCCTGCACTGCTTGGCAGGAATGCAGACTGGTGCAGCAACTATTGAAGATCTTATGAAGGTTCCTCAAAAAGTTAAAGGTGGGGGGCACCTGAGTGGCTCAGTCAGTGAAGTGTCGGCCTCTTGATTTTGGCTCAGGTCATGATCTCACAGTTTGTGAGTTTGAGCCCCGAGATGGGCTCTGGACTGGCAGCATAGAGCCTGCTTGGGATTCTCTCTCTCTCCCTCTCTGCCCCTCCCCCACTTGTGTTTTCTCTCTCCCTCTCTCTCAAATAAATACACATTTTTTTAAAAGTTAAAGATGGAACTATCCTACAACCCAGTAATTGCACTACTGGGTATTTACCCAAAGAGTACAAAAACACTAATTTGAAGAGATATGTGCACCTCTACACTTATTGCAACATTATTTACAATTAGCCAAGATATGGAAGCAGGACAAAACAAGTGTCCATCAACAGATGAATGCATAAAGATGTAAGACATATATAATATATACACATACATATACATATATAACCACACAGGATATTATTCAGCCATAGAAAATAATTAAATCTTGCCATTTGCAGCAACATGGATGGATCCAGAGAGTATAATGCTAAGTAAAATAAGCCAGTCAGAGAAAGACAACCACCATATGATTTCACTCATATGGAATTTAAGAAACAAAACAAACAAAGGAAGCAAGACACAAACCAAAAAACAAACTCTTAAGTATAAAGTACAAACAACTGATGTTTACCAGAAGGGAGGTGGGGGGGGGGGCGTGGGGGAAATAGGTGAGTGGGATTAAGAATACACTTGTCTTGATGGGTTTTAGTCTAATATTAAAACGAACCTACAGTCTTTGAGCATACACAAGACCAGGGAAACCAGAGACAGCAGCTGAGAGGTAGTTGGGTGGGTCCCTATTCCCCAGCACTAAAAACTCTGCTGAAGGAAACATTCTTCATTCAATAAACGTGTATTATCGGCTGTGAGCTGGGTTCTGTGCTGGGCTCTCAAGATGGAATGACCAAATCATGCGTAGCTCCCGCCCTGCTGGAGCTGACTTCTAGTCTAACAGAGGAGATGGAATGAAATGACCACAGAAATATACCACCACAATCTGAGATGAGCACTGTGAATGCGAATGATGTGATTGATTATGAGATTTGTGGGTTTGGGGAAGGCATCTCTGAGGAAGTGACATTTAAGCTGGAACCAAGAGAGTAATAGATCAGAGTTGGGGGAAGGGAGGTCCTAGAATGGGCAAAGGCTTCTTTATCCGAGCTGACTTGCTCCCCACCCCTTTTTAAGTAACCTCTATGGCCAGCGTGAGGCTCCAACTCAAGACTCCAAGATCAACAGTCACACACTCTACCAATTGAGCCAACCAGGTGCCCCTCATCTGAGAAGCTGAAAGGAAAGCCTGCCAGGAGCACAGAGAATAAGATACGCCAAGGAAAAGGTCAGCATTCCCATGTAGGCCATTCTATGGAATACGGATTGTATTTTATGATTAAGAAGAAGCCATTAAATGATTTTAAGCAAAGGAATGCCATGCTCAAGTCTGCCAAGGACGATCATCCTGGATGCTTTCTGAAGAACAGACTAGGGAAAGTGCATGGCCAGGGGAATGTTGCAGTGGTCTACAGGAGAGATGGCTGCTTGGGTGGTGGTGGTAGAGGCATGCAGGGAATATTTTAGAGGCAGAGCAGACAGGATTTGGTGATGATGGGGATGTGAGGAAGAGAGACGCCTATAAATGGGCAGCCAACTGAAACATTAAAAAGAATAACCCAAACTATTTACTGAGTACCACGTACAGTTCTGCATCAGAAAAGGGCAATCAGTTGAGGAGGCAAGAGGGGTTATAATCTACATCACACTCTTGTTTGGACTTGTCAAGCCACGAGCCTGGCATGGGCCATGTCCACAAAGAGGAAGGAGTGCCTTCCTACTGCCCACCAAGCTGTGTGACTGGTGACCTTGACAGAACACTTTCAGAAAGCCACCAGCAGCCTCCATGGGGGCAATGGATGTGGGTTTTGTCCTGCTTCTCCTAGAATGTAAGATTCACAAGGGCAAGGATCTATCCTATAGGAACTACCACACTTAGAGCTGCTATAATCTGATCAAACCTAGTCACAGAAGCACTCAGCTAGCCCTGACAGCTCAACAGCCTGCAAAATATGAAGTCAATCTCTCCCTTTAGTGAAAACAGATGAGTACTTCATATTTATTTATTAAAATACTTCACATTTAGAATAGCTCCCTTCTGTGGCAGTAGAGGTATCATCTTGGGTTCATGTGATACTCTCTCAAAAACAAAGATTACAAAACGATGAGTGAGGTCAAGTAGGTAATCTTTAGACACCATAGCGACACCAGCCAAGGCAGTCAAGACTTTGTGTTAGGGCTCCCAGCTGTTAAGGGCTCACGGGACCCCTATGGTCAGGATGGAGGTCTAAGGGGAGAGAGGTGGCATTGAGTATACAAACCTGCACAAACACAGTAGCTTCAGGAAGGTTAATCCTGCATTACATAGTACATGAAGGTAGCCCAGAGGTATCCAACAAACAGTATTCCTATACCCTAACATTGTACCAAGTTTTCACTCACAGTATTTTCCTGGCATAAAAGAGAAAGGAGGAGCCCATCTTACATCTTAACTCAGGTCTCTACTTTCCTAGTTTCCTTACTGGTACTCAGAACCTTGCAGAAGCCCACCAGGGCCACCAGCTTGAAATGAAGCTAGAAAACTCCACAAAATTGTCCCAAATTAAGGAGAGGAGGCTTGGAACAAGTCAACCTCCACAGGTCTGATATACAATCTCTCTCCCTCCCACTCCCAGAAAGCTAAAATGTCCAAAGTCTTCCCATTTCAAGTAGGAGGATAGAAAAAAAAATCTGTCCAAGTCAGTTTACCTTTGACCATTTGGTCAATACTCTAGTACCCACCTTGCAGATTCAATGCAAATCTCAAATCTAAGAATATCAGGCCAACTACAGAAATACTGGAAGCATCCCTTTGACCAGAAGCCAGGCTGGGTGCTCATTTTTTTTGCTTGCTTTCATCCTGTATCCCTAGAGGATCCTCAACCATTGCTCCCATTATGAACCTCACTTCCTGATGGTTAGTTCTGGCTTGCCCTCCACCCATTTCTTTCTATATTCAGGGTATGTATGGTAGTAGAGCTCCAAATACTTGGTTTCCTCCTGTCAAACTCAAGAGGCCTATTTTCGCATTTTCTTCTACAGAGGGGGCTTCTTCTCTCTTCTTATCTGTAAAAGGAATAGAATTTAATCTGAAAATCAGGGTCATAAACGTAAGAGTAGGTATGGGCACTCAAAATTATGTGAAGGAACCCAACACTCAACATATTAAAACAAGATTTTAACACTTTATTTTTTATTGATAAAAAGTCAAAACATACTTAAATCACCTTGCTGTTAAGCTTGTATATGCCAAAGTTGGCTCCCTTTGGGGGAGATTCCTTTATTTAACTCCGGGTTGACAATCTGCTTTGTCTACAGCGGTAATGAGACGTTTTATTTTGGGTCCAAGTAATTGGCAAAGCTTGTCCTTTTCATTTCATTTTTTGAAAGTAATTTCTATACCCAACTTGGGGCTCAAACTCACAACCCCAAGGTCAAGAGTTGCATGCTCTACTGACTGAGCCACCCAGGTGTCCCTGTCCTTTTCATTTTAAAACTTCACCACCCATAGGACACAAAACTAGAGGATAATGTCAACCTGTTAGGTATATATAGTGTCATACTGTGTGTGTCTCGATATATACACGTGCTTTGAGAAAGGATGGAAAAAACATAACGTTTAACCTTTTTTTTTTTTTTTTGGTATTTACTAAATTATCTATCCTGAAAATGTGCTACTTACATAAAAAAGGAGAAATTAAACTGTGTATCTATCCACACTAACATTCTAAAACCTATTATATAACGTCTAAATTTCTCATTTGCTTTATAAAGTCCCCTACCATATCCTTACTTTCTCTACACCCACATATAACCATTTCTGGACAAGTTTGATGTTCTCTGTCCACATTATTCCAGCTTTTTGATCATTACATAATCTCTTATGTTCCTTTCAAATCAATTTATTTCATAACTTCTGGAGACCCTTGTTCAAAATATCACCAATGATTAACCTCATCTTTAATGAGTACCCACAGATTATACATAATTGTTCCTTTATCCGATTATATGATTGTTTGTAGGTTGTTGAATGTACACACCTCTTATTCCCTAAGCATAAAAGATTTAGCTCTTTTGTGAAAAATATTCAAGGATTACTTTCTTCAAAAGATCACCAAGCCAAACATTTGGCCATATTTTTATTTACTACATATACTATAAACATATACAATACATGCTACAAAAAAACATTTTTTTTTTTAAATTTAACTGTCAAGAAAGTGTATAGTGTTATAATACAATGGCACATGTTCATATTTTATTTCAAATTGGTTTGCTGACCACCCATTTCAAACCATTAATAGTGAAATGTTACTTAAGGATAATTAAAAATTATCTATTTGCATTATTAACAATAAACAATTCCAACAAATTAATAAGAATTAACCACGTCAAATATTAGTATCCAAAAACTGGGCTTTTGCAGAAATGATTATATAAAATATAGCAGCCAATTACAGTTTACTTGCTCTGTGACAATGTACATATGCACTTGAATAGGATTCTAGCATTTGCTTTTGGAAGATACTTTTTAGAAGTCCTTTGATTTAAGGTCTAACAACTGACACACCCAGCCAAATCCAACCCAACAGTTCATATAATGGCTTCAGACAACTGATCAAACTGATCATTGAGAAATTCTTATGATTTGGGTAGAGTTGAATGTTCCACTAATATTACATATGATGAAAAGAGACATATCCAAGCCAATATCAAAGTCAAAGGCAAAAGAAAATACAAACATTCAAATCAGTTTATGACAAGGTTTTTCTACAAGTATTTTAGATGTCATACTTTCAGGAAAACAAGATTTAATTTAATGCGTATTTGGATTTGGATTTTACAGTATCTATGCTCTAACTGAAAATTTAAGAGTAGTCAGATGGAATTAAGTCTAGTATTGCAAATATGTTCATTTAACATTATTGAGCACCCACTACGTGCATTGCACTGTGCTAACTTTTAAAAGTTAAGTATTAATATATTTATCAAGCATTACCTTAGTGTGAGGTAAAAATAAATTAGCGTCAACTCATTAGTTTGCTTGTGGTATGTAATCCTGTGTCAGCTGGCTTCCCTGTGCCGTATGAGCTTCTGCACACCCCTCATTCACTCACACAAACATCTGCACACCGACTATGCCAGGCATTGTGCTAGTCACTGGGATACCATGATTTGGTATAGTTCAAAGAATGCATATTAATCATTAACCTATGTAGAAACAATGAGAAAGATACATTACTTTTCTAAAATGAGGCCCAAAGCAAAATATAAGGTGTTTCTATGGGTCATACCACACCATAGACCAGTAAGTGCCTTTCTAGACTGGGAACTAACTTTTAAGGTTTCATATTGTAGTCTAAATAGCCTAGATCATTTTTGGTCTCAGAAGTCAATTCTTTGGAGCACCTGACCCCACATAAACCTTCCATACTTGAAAGGATTTGTAAACTAAACTGGAACACAAAGAAAAAGAGCCAAAAATGAAGGCAGTTGATAACGTAATGCACTTCAAGCACTATTCTGGCCATGTAAAATGAATACTACATAATTCATGATTGGTTCAAATGTTTTTAAAAGCGCTAACCCTACCCCAAACTCATGTAATTTTAATCTGACTTGTATACAAGTTGCACATAAAGCAAAGGGCAGAATTTGGCCCTACAACCCTCTATGGAATATTCTAAGTGATTGGTCCTTCCACTCCAAGCAAGTAGAAGCTAAGAATTTCAGAGAGTTCCCTAATAGGATACTGGCACTCAGAAGAAATGGCCCTACTGGATCCCATTAGCCAGGAGTCTGTTTAGTTGTGGTAGCAGTGTGAACCTATGACCCCTTGAGGGAAGGCAGAAAGCTGGGAGTTTGGGTGTCCACTCAGTGAATCCAATACTGGCTTAAAGCTATGCACTGAATAAAGTGCTCTGCACATCCTGCTTGTCATCTGGAATGAAAAATACTTTTCTCAAGAATGAACCTATTTGTAGGTTTAGGGGAAAAGAATGACAAGGATTTAAAGAATCCCAAGAAAAAGTATGAAGCATTGACTAGGAAGGAAGACAAATGCCTCTAGTAGTGTCCTCAGAAATCTCAGGATCTGAACTGTCAGAATGAGTCACACAGTGGTCATGTTCTATAAATGAAAAAGCAATCCCACTGGGTACTTCCTATTCACACGGTGCAATATTACTTCATGGGGGTGGAAGGGAACAGTCTATTGCCATTTGCTAGCATGGTTTCAAAATGAAAACAAAACCATTGAGTAAATCAGGGTAAGCAGTGTCCAATAGCCCTCTCCTGTCCATCAGTTTTCCACAGGTTGATCTGCACTACCTGAGGGAAAGGAGGCAAAATACCCATCCCTTCTGATACACTCAGGCATGGCTGCTATCGCTTAAAATTGCCAATTCAGAAGTTAACACACGAGCCCTCCAGTTTCGTACCCTGAATATGGTAAATGAGACTAGAGATGGAGTAGTTCAGTCTAAAAAAGATCACAGGTAACAGAATGCTTATATAAACTAGACTGCTTTGACGTCTGTAAGAAAATCGTATAGATGACAATTGGAAAAAAAAAAAAAGATTGTTCCCATCTGTCAGCAAAACTGTTGAGCTATACTCAGCTGAAGTCCTCATCAGGATTCTGTTGATCCAGCAGACGGACATGTGTGAATGGGAAGTGACCTCGTTTGCCATTACACTCCCCTTCCCACTGACCACTCACATTAATCTTCGTAACCTTTACCAGCTCACCGACCTGCAGGAGGAGAATAAGGAAAGCGCTTTATTTCCAGTGTTATGAATGCAAACTGAAAAACTCCATTCTCTGGTTAGGCATACCCTGCCCACGTGATTGCTCTAGGGCTGACATTATAGAAATGGCTATTTGCTGCCTCCCAAGCCCCAGCCACCAGACTGATTACTTGTGGTTAGTGCAGGCAGAAGGAAGAAGTGATTTTAGCAGTGCAGAAAAACACAGAGTACAGAAAATAGAAAGGGCCCTAAAAAATGACACTTTTTGGAAATTTTAATCATCTCTGGAAGAGCAATCCCAACCAGAATGAGCCGGTATTCTTTTTTCTGGTACCCACTGCCCTTAGATTCCTGCTTGCCCCCCAGGCCATGGCCTAGGAGGAGAGATCCCCCACCCCTACTGGCATACAAGCAGCAGCACAATCCCTCAACCCACTGGTGTATACATATCACTACCTACTAGTGCTTGCAGAGAAAATAATCATGGAAATCAACTTCATCTGGTCCCAGAAAATGAAGTGTTCTATCACCTTCCTATCAAGGCAAGGCTTTTCCCACTTGGGCAGGTATAGGCCAAAACTCCAAATTCCATCAGCTCCCTGCAAAGTCCCCATCTTCTTCATCAAGCTCTACTTGGCAGGCCACTGCCTGCCAGCTCTCCACCCCCACCCTACCATGTACTAACAGACCTTGTTGCTCCTTCAATGCCACTTGGTACCTATTCATTAAGGAGACATTACGTTTTCGTTTCTGTTATGAAAAACTTTCCTTTTCAACATCAACTATAAAGTTTTGACAATCTAGGATATAGTCTATTCTCCTATAAAACTTAAGACAAAATCAGTCTGATGAATGGATTCATCCTGTGGCAAAATATTGAACAAATGGTGAGATCAGGCCCCATATGACACTGGACTAAAGAACTTTACCCTTTAATTATCAACATCTGAGTTCTCAGCATACAAGAAGTTTCTAAGCATAACTGTTCATTTGGTTTTATTAAGTTAATAGCTACTATTTACTGAACTTTCATTAAGTACTGTAGAGGATTTTTTTTTTTTTTTTTTTTTTTTTTTAAGTAAGCTCCAAGATCCAACATGGGGTTTGAACTCACAACCCTGAGATCAAGTATCACATGCTCTACTGACTGAGCCAGCCAGGCACCCCTACTGTACAAAATATTTTATATACACTATTTGTAGTCCTTATAATAACCTTGTAAAACAGAAAATTTTCATTTTATAGATGATAAAACTGAGGTTCAGAGCAATTACAGGATACACCTGAGGTCACATAGCCAGGAGCAGGGCTGGGATTTGAGCCCAGAAGTATTGGCTCCAAAGCCAATTAATTTATGCTCTTTCTACCACAGCAGGAACTTTCAAATTATGCTCCCACGACCTTCAGGATTCCCTAAGAATGTCTGTAGGTCAACCACTTGCTTAAGTGAACTCGAGTTTAGGACCAGAGCCTTCTGCAAAACCAGCTTGATCTTACAGAACAGATTGTCTACTGGTCTGTCTATAATTTCCTGAAGAACTATCTGAGAACTACAGAGGCCTAAGGTGGTTGTGGGGACCATAGGGTGCGGAAAAAAGGAAGACAGAAACTAGAGAATATCTGAGAAAAAGGGATAAAATATAAGGGTGAGAAAAGGCAGCAGTGTAGTCTGCTGATGTTGTAAAGATTGAGGCTGATGGTTTAAGGGGAGAAGAAAAGATGCTGCACGTCCATTCTTGCATCCACATGCACAATGCAGTCCCTACAAGGCTGCTAGCACCAGGGTTCTTTATTCCAAGCAATCTTTGAATTCAAAATTCCTGATGTCCAAGCAAGCCAACCATGACAAGTCAAGATGTTCCTATAGCCCCCAATCACACCACTAGCTTCTTGCTATGCTAAGGTCAATTATATCGAGTGTAGGACTTCTTTTCCCCATCTTAGTATTTATTTGTATTTTCTACTAAAACACTCATGTTGTGCTAAGTGCTATTCTGGTAGCTAGACATAGGATAATAGACCTAGGGGATGTGTACACTCATGTCAAAAGTCTAAATTGCCACTCACATTAAGTTCCCCTCCAGATGGGGACAGGGGCCAGTTTGAGAAGTTGGTTTGACAGGGTGCCCGGCTGGCTCAGTCAGTAGAGCATGTGACTATTGATCTCGGGGTAGTGAATTCAAGCCCCATGTTGGGTGAAGCGCTTACTTGGCATTGGGGGGTGGGGGGGAAGCTAGTTTGACAATATCTAACACCCCTAACAGCTGTCATATCTGAATCCATCATTTTACTGATATTAAAAACCCACAAGAGAGACATGAGGAAACATTCTGGAGTGTTGGAAATGTTTTATACTTTCACGTGGGTGGTTATCACATAGGTGAATACACATGTAAAACTCCAAGCTGTATACTCAGGATCAGTACCTTTTACCAAATGATTTCATATATTTTTTTCTCCTAACCCCACTCCCTCAAATGATTTCATATTTAAATGAAAAGATGAAAATTTGTTATATTTTACCCGCATTTTCTGCGTTTTTTAGAAGATGGTTCTTCAGGGTATACCCTTAAGTCCACCATTCTACTTGATAGCAAAATCTAGGTGTATTTTATTCATTTTGTTTCAAGTTTGTTTATTTTATTTTGAGAGAGAGCAAGTGGGGGAGGGGCAGAGAGAGAAAGAGAGAATCTTAAGCAGACCCCATGCTGTCAAGCACGGAGCCCAATGCAGGGCTTGAACCCACAAACCCTGAGATCATGACCTGAGCCAAAACTAAGTCAGATGCTTAACCAACTGAGCCACCCATGCACCCCCAAAATCTAGATTTAAACACTTTTCTCTCAATGTTACATTGTCTTTATTTTTTTTTTTTTAATTTTTTTTTTCAACGTTTTTATTTATTTTTGGGACAGAGAGAGACAGAGCATGAATGGGGGAGGGGCAGAGAGAGAGGGAGACACAGAATCAGAAACAGGCTCCAGGCTCCGAGCCATCAGCCCAGAGCCTGATGCGGGGCTCGAACTCATGGACCGCGAGATCGTGACCTGGCTGAAGTCGGACGCTTAACCGACTGCGCCACCCAGGCGCCCCACATTGTCTTTATTTTTAAGCATTCAACATGCTATCTCAAATCGCATCCCACAGAGCTCTGAGAAGTGAAGGACAGGTTGAAATGTGGACTAGCCCAGCCTCTTGCTTTTATCAGTACCACAGAAACACAACAGCTGCTCCACAAGCAGGACAGAACCTGCTGACCTGCCCTCAGACTTTTCTTCTTTCAGAGGTCAAACGGAGAAACATTGCAAGATGGTACTGGTAGGGGTGAGGGGTGGATTCTGTACAGATTAGACCTTGGGACACACCAGAGCCATCTCTAACGCACATGGTGTCTTGGCTCTACCCTACAGAGGCTCTGGAAAACCACACCATATTCTGAAATCCAAAACCTTTTTTTTATAGTCGATCAGGTTCTTGGCAGAGAGGCCCAAACATCAGGGAGTGAAACAAAGGCTATGGCACAACTCTAAAACAATTCGAACTTTTTTTTTTTAATTCTGATTTAAGTGGATAAAAGAGAAAAATTGTAAGCAGTCATTTGGGCTAATTAACCTGTCCAAAGTGGCCTTTAAGTACAAGTACTTCGAGGAAGATCTTATCAAATTAAATAACCCTTTGTACCCTATGGAGTTTTTCTACTGCAATATTCAAAGCCCATGGGGATTCCTAGGGTCAAGAAAAGGCAAACCCCAAGGGCAACACGACTATCCTTAGATCACATGAGGCCCTAGTACTTCCGTAGTCTGGAAGAATAGGTGGCTGTCAAGCCTGGAGGATGCAGGCTGGGGGAGCTCAGAAGGTGCCAGGGCAGTCTGAAAACACGGGCTACGCTAAGTGCAGTTCTTCCTCCAAATCAGAAACAACACGAGAATTCACGCTTCTCCTCCTGTTAGGCAACAACTCACTAAAGCAGGATTTCCAAGGCCACACCAAGGAGGATGAGGGGGATGGATATGGGTTCAAGCTTGGCATGCTATTCCAAAGACAAAGAAAGCAAAACAGAGTACTTGCTCCAGAATTGCTATAATCTTAAGATACAAAGGAATGTACTAATCAGTAAGTGCAGTAATAACTGTGTTCTAACACTACTGACTTCAAAATTCAAGTTATAGATGGAAAAAACCCTAATTTGCCTATCAATGAATAAGAAAGACTTTATAAAGGATTTGAAACACGAGACAGTTAACCTTTCTTTTTATGAGGCAGACTTCATCACCACCCTGTAAAGGAGAGACAGTGATGATTCTTTCACTGAGGTACTGTTCTATTGTCCAGTCAGTTCTCCTAATCCTAGGTCATGAACTTAGACACAAGCCTGCAAGTAAATCATGGCATCATCTATAAAGAGGACTGAATGTGGTTACTTCAGTGTTTTCACTCCTAGGGAATTTGATGAATACTGGTTTCTTCCCTAGCTCTGTGTAGTTCCCAAGGTAAATCACAATTTTGGTACACATGAGTCAGATCTACAATTGGTCCAGGAGCAAATGACTACCCAATCGATATTAACCAGTGAGTTTCCATTATAGTGAGAAAAATACTGGAACCCAATTAGCATTAATTTTTGGTACTCGCTAAATAGAGGAGACATCAGGGAACTGTGTGATCTCCTTCCTTTGCTGGTGTAACTCCAGGTGACTACTTTTCTAGTTTCGGTTCCTACTATCTAACAGGAAAGGCATCAACAATCACCAGTGTTCCTTTGATGCTGACTTGCTGTAGGATTCCAGGGAGATCTGACAGAAAACACATACAAATTCATATAAATAGAACCAGAGAAAAGTACGTACAGAGATGGAATACAGAGGCCTTGTCTTCAAACATTTTTGAACACACCAAGAACACATTTAGTAAATACTTCCAGATTTGGCTGGAGGAGAACAAAAGTTAAGAAAACGACAGCAATCCAAGACAGGGGTCAGCAAGCTACGGTCCATGAGCCAA